GAAAAAAAAAAAGGGAAAAGAAGAGAAGAACAATAAATTCATTAAACAAAAAGTAAAAGAAGAAACTGGAAGTGGAGAAGAGCAGAGCAACTCAACCACTTCAAAGCTCAATAATTGCTTCGATGATAAACTCAGCTCAACGCACAGCTTTCGAACTGATCCACAACAAGATTGCCAATGCTGACTCTGTGAAGTCCCAACTCCCTCCCACTTAGAATGGTAAAGGCTTCAAGACAGGTGGGAAAGATTACATGGTGAGAAAGCAAGAACTCTGAGTCATTCTTCCCTTTTGTTCACATTTTAGTGTCAGCTTTATGGTTGCCAAAACATCTGCAATCAATGACCCTCAATATTGACTTTATGATTTCTTCAATTTATTTTTGAAACGATTTAAATATATTAAAAAAAATAAAAAAAACACGTTAATGTCGAGGGATTGTGATTTATGAGAAGTGATAGCTCCTCTGGTCCCAAGATTTTCTTCTACATACACTGCAAGTTATTATCTCAAGTTTTTTTTTAAAAAAATAAAAATAAAAAATTCAATATTAAATCTCTGTATTTTCATATCTGTTTGCACCTTGATCCTTATTTTGTTTTCTTCTCCCAATTTAATTGATTTTTTTCGTAAAACATCCTTTATTTCTAATTTAATTTTTCAACCTCGTCAATTATGGAGAACAAAACATTCAAAAATGAAAACCTAGACTAAAAATAAGATTTAGTAAAAGAACTAACTTATAATTTTCAAAACTAAAAAAAGATTAACTTGTAAAATTATAGGAAAAATATACAATGAATAAATTATAATTTTTCAAGTATTTAAGTGAGTTTTAAGGGTGTAATCATCATCGTTATTTTATTAAGAGGTTTTCTTAATGAATTAATTTTTTATTCAGACAAGACAATTAAAAAGCTATCTTAATAGCTTTGGCTCCTAGTATTTCGGCGATCTCCCCCTTGAGCTTTCCTCTGCATGTGAAACAACAAAAACAAGATGGGGAACTATCTTCTTCGGCCTTTACCGACATCATATCTTTCTCCCTCTACACGAACAAGATCAAAGTTAAGCACGTGTCATAAAGTGCATAGACAAGCATGATGTGGCAAGCCACAAAGTAGAGTCACGAGTCAAAGAATGAGTTGTGAGTGAATGGAAATGACAAAATGTTAATACACGTGTACACGAAAAATAGAAAGAAAATAAGAAGAAGCTGGCAAGGCAAAGTTAGAGCCTTGTAATAATGCTTCTCATGTGTGTCTACAATCCCAATCACACTACAATCTTCCTTCCCTCCCTCCCTGACCCATTCACCATCGTTTATTTCTTGTCTTCCTTCTGAATCCTAATGGAAATGCCATGACGAGCAAAATCATCTCTGCTTCCAAGGTCAGTATTCAATACCTTACCTTCTCTTTACTCCCAAGTTACTGTTGGTGTTTATATCTGATTCTTCATTTTACTTGCTTTTGTTTGCTCTTTAGACTTTCTTTGTTTAGATTGTATGTGGTTTTGAAGTTTTTTTTTTTTTTTTTTTTTTTTTTTTTTTTTTTTTTTTTTTTTTTTAGATTAACGTGGGTGTCCGGGCCAGCTTGCGCGCACCACGACTAATCCCACGGGCCCTGAAGTTAACGACCATGTAAGCCTCCAGTGGCCATCATATGAGCAACCAAGGACTCGAACCTGAGACCACAGAGGGAGCAAACCCCTTAATCCCAAGTCTTTACCACTTTCTTTGTTTAGATTGTATGTGGTTTTGAAGTTTTTGGTGGGTTGAAGCTATTTGTGAAGCAAAAGAGAGCTCTGTAATAAAGATTTGCGTTGAGCTTAAATAACAGCGTCCAGAGATAGTTTACTAACATTCATTTTGTAGATATGGATTCTTGTTGTAGTTACTCCACTGATGATGAACCTCTTACTGTTATACCAGTTAGCTGGCTGCCTTTTGAGTGAACTGATTTTGGTTTCTCATTTATGGTGGAAGATTTACATCTCAAAGCTCGGTTGACATTTATCCTAGCTGCCTTGGCAGGCTCAAATGGCCAAGGCTCAGTATATCGCATTCTACATCACAGTATGCTGCATTGCTTTTATAGTATCAAAGATAGTTGTTTCAGTCCTTCTCTACAAGCGATGGAAAAGAAAGCACTTGATTTATGAAGAAGATGGCTTTTCAGGTACACTGACCACTACATAAATTTAATTGCTTGGAAATTAATATAATTAAACAAATATTAATAGGTTATGATGGCAATTCCAGGTGGGAAGATGGTGATGTTCAAGTCTGCAATGATGCAATCTCTAAAATCCGATGAGCTCTTCAAGAAGACACTGAAATTGAGCTACAAGGACATAATTGGATCCGGAGGGTATGGGACGGTGTACAAGTTGATGCTAAACGAGTCTACTGCATTTGCTGTGAAAAGACTAAACAGGGGTACTGCAGAAAGAGATCGAGGATTCGAGAGAGAGCTGGAGGCCATGGGGGATATAAAGCATAGGAATATTCTCACTCTTCATGGATATTGCACTACCCCTCAATATAATCTTCTCATATATGAGCTAATGCCTAATGGAAGTTTGGACACGTTCCTGCATGGTATGCACATAATATAGCTTCAAGTAACACCGCTAATCATTTTCTTCCTAAATGTTTGTCAGCACTGAAAATATGATATTCTCTAATTGAATGCCTTGTTCAATGTTCATATCCAGTTCTGTAATTTCCTTATAGGCTAGAGTTTTATTTGAAGTATGCTCGATTTCAAAGGTATTCAATACTGAAGTGGATGATGATGCAGGAAGATCAGTAGAGACTAAGCTTTTGGATTGGCCTTCCAGATATAAGATAGCACTGGGTGCAGCAAGAGGAATATCATACCTGCATCATGATTGCATCCCCCACATAATTCACCGAGATATCAAGTCAAGTAATATATTGCTGGATCAAAACATGGAAGCTCAAGTTTCTGATTTCGGATTGGCCACATTGATGGAACCTGACAAGACTCATGTTTCCACGTTAGTAGCAGGAACTTTTGGATACCTAGCTCCTGGTATGCCAAAGCACCAGATAACTGTAAATTCAGTCTCTTCCCTTATTTTGATTTAACAATTAAAATATTCAAATATGTGCTTCTGCAGAGTACTTTGATACAGGGAAGGCGACCGTGAAAGGGGATGTATACAGCTTCGGAGTTGTCCTGCTCGAACTTCTAACTGGAAGGAAACCAACAGATGAAGAGTTTTTCAAGGAAGGAACCAAGCTTGTAACATGGGTGAGTCTACTGAATTTAATCTAGACCCTCTTGTGGGTGAGGAGAGGAGATTATATGAATTCCCAAAGTGCTTCTGCAGGGAATGCCCTTTTGATTTCCATGATAATTAATCATTCAAAAATTGCCATCTCAAACAAATTTAAATATTAACTAACATGTGCAAGAGAATGGTCCATGGAAGCCATATTGAATACAGAAAACGCATCTCAAGTGCATCAAATCCTGTACTGTAAAATAAATCAAGTTTCATGGTACAACCAGACATGCCTGTCAAGTTTTATGTACATTTAGAAAAGGCTATTTAACTGGGAAAAGGGTGCCTCGACTACTGGTTTCCTCTTGCATTGGTCTGAAAATACCTGATATTACGTATATTGATATACTACCTGGTTGTGTATGTTGAAACTTGGAACAGGTGAAGGCAGTTGTCGAACATAAATGGGAAGAGTATGTCCTTGACAGTAGCTTAAAGTGCAGTCCTGCTGATGAGATTAACGGAGTATTCAGAATTGCATTCTTGTGCCTTGAACCAGAGCCCTCCAAGAGACCTACCATGGCTGATGTTGTCAAGATGCTTGAGCAAGCTAGATCAGAGAGGGTTGTGGAAGAGTATTAATATTTATGCATTGACTAATCCTTTCTCTAGCAAATTTGATGTGTACTTTATGGCCAATTAATTGATGTTCATTAACAGACAACTTGACTTGCTTTAAGTCGTTTCCGAGCATTACGAGTACCAAGCCTAATATGAGCCAAAAACCTATAAGAAAATCTCCATGGGAATAATGAGAAGCTAAAAGGATAATAATGTTTGTTAGAAAAATACCAACCCCTGAATTGGATTCGTAGGACTCCATTTTACTATGGTTCAAGTAAGAACTACAAGGAAGGAGGCCCTATAGAGATAATTCAAATCTGCTAAGCTTTTTTTCTTTCAGAGTCTTTGATGTTACAAACAATGCAGAGACATCAGGTTCCCAACAGTCTTAAGTTATAATTACAAAGGAGATTAGCAGGATTTACCAAAGCCTCCAGTAATCAAGAAGCTAACATGCAAAAAATACTGTTTCTAGGCCATTAGCTACTGAGGTTTTCAAGGAAGGAGAAACTGGAGCATCTCCAAAAAAATACGTCAAAAAGGGCAGAAGTAACATTTTCCGACTCAATCGTAGCATCTAGACTAGATGGAGTTCCATCAGATGAGACACAAACCTGCCGATCACAATTCAGTCTGAATTAATACGCAGAGAAGAAAAGACTGAAACAGAAGAAAAATGAAAGTAAAATCCTGTCACCGAGAAACAAAGAAGAATTACGAAAGTGCTCATGTATGCATGTACAAATTCATACTTACTAGCATTTTGGAGGAGTCCAGCCCAGTCAAAAATATTGAAGTTCTTTTAAGAGGTCGACCTTGGAAGATGATTCGAAATGTGGACAGAGCAGACTTGTCAAGTGAAGTGGCTTCTTTGATTCTTGGGGATATGGCTTCATCCAAGGCATCCTAGAAAGTTTTACCATCAACAATCTATAATGATTTTTCCAAAGGATCTCCAATCAAGGAATAAGGTCGGTTATATTAGCGAAATTCATAAGCTCTTCCTCTTCAGAGTAGTACGTATCTGATGAGATCAGTTGCCCTGGAAAATCGAACTAAACAAAGCTAAGTTCTCTTGAATCTCACTAGCTGATTCTTCTTTCCAATTGCTCAACGCACATATATGGACGCATTTACATATATCCCTGCAGCATGGACCTTAACACCAATTATTGCAAAAACCTTCTCGCTGTATCCTGAATTCAGTGAAGATCTTAGTTACAACAACAAGAAGACATCATAAGCAACAAAAGCCACGATTAGTCTTCTATAGACTTTGGCTTAAATATCACCTCCAAAATTATAATAGACCCATTTAAGTTTTTGGGTGAGTGAGGTCCCAGGCTAGGATTTATATTATTCTCTAACATAATTTCTCTAATTGGAATTTTTATTGTTGAAATCCATACCAAAAACATCAAGGTTCAGACAGTATCAGCAGCAGGAGATTCCAGTCACTAAAACCATTAGCTTTCCAGTTATATTTGAAGCACCTCCTCAAATAGATGCATTAACTAATTTAATCTTGAAGGCTGGCTTTTTCCACCTGAGAGTTCTCCCATTGCCATTGGATGACAGCGAATCCTCCACCTAAAGGGAGGCCTTTCCATTGAGCTCTCCTAAATGATTACAATTGGAGGTAATTTTACAAAGCACCTCTATGCAACCACCATCAGAGATGCTAATGGTTGTGCTAGGATGAAGTTTATAGATATGCATTGGCAATTGACACCAAAGCTGTCGGATAGAGATGAAGGTTCTATAAATAAGCTCTTAAAGTTCCTCCACCCATTATGAGAGCAGGGAATTGTTGAAATAATTTCCTTACAATAAGTGTGAAATAAAAGGAAAAGGAAAAGGAAAAGAAAAGGCTGTTTGAGGATAATACATCAGTTAAGATCACGTCTTTCTATTTTCCTAGATCCACTTTACTACAAATCGTAAAACGATACCGCACTACATTAAGTGATAATCAGATCAGCTATGACAGTTAGAAAGATGCTAACACCAAATGATTTTTAGATAAGTTCTACATAGTCTGTCTGCTGGAAATAAATTCTTACTAAAGTAACTGACCAGTTCCTAGCAATGATGGCGAGGTAAAGCAGCCGGGTAAGCTCAAGGATGTCTGAAATCTTGCTTTGGTTGCAGGTTCCTCTGTGTATTCTGCACTTCCAACTGCAGCAACGGGTTAAGAGACCAAAAGGTCTCAGGATTTTGTCATGATTGCAAATGTAAAGAAAAAAGAAACTAAAAGGAAAAACAACCAGCATGTTTGTATAAACTTTTGTTTTTTTCTCATACTTTCAACCTGCATTTATGTGTTGCTTTAGCACTAGAAAAATATGGAATCTGAATAACCTTCACTGATTTCAGTCTGATTCCATTTCGTTATCTCTTACTATTATTCTCTCTATTTCATTACAGCCTTAGATGAAACCTCATAGAAGGTGTCATAGTGATAAGTCTAGTGTTAAATAGTGTAGTTACAGTGCCCCCAACCCGCAGACACTAGCAAAAAAGAAAAGCTCGTTTTTTTTTGTTCTTTTTGACAAGCAACATCAATTCTCATTTCTGCTCAGTTCTCCCTTTGTTTTTGCTTTCGAAATTTCGATATGCTGCCGATGGCTTTCACTTTAAAAAGGAAGATGATGATTTTCCGAGGTCTTAACTGTCTAATTTAAGGTTTGAACAGGCACTATCTGTCATCAACTTACAACAAGAGAACTTCATAAATCCTTCTCTAGTGCTCTTGAACCTTGATCTCTACAATTATCAACTCGCTCAGCCCCTTATGTTCTCCTTTTTAAAGAAGTAAATCTTCATAAGCTCAGTACTTCGATGTTTTTTTATTATCATTTCTCCATAAACAGAAAACTGGCAACCATATATTTCCTCTCTCCAATTCCATTTTTTCCACGGTTTTAAAGATCTTCATTGTCGAACCTTTTCTTCAGATTTTATTATCAATTTGGAAACCCTATCCTCGATGACCTTAAAGCTAGGCGACATTTTCATCAGCATACTATTGATACATGAATAGAGCAAACATAGTTTCACGAGTTAGATTGGGGCTCATGTAACTATACTCGCCAATTCAATTCACAAAAAGCTGCTGTTTCAGCCTTTGAGCAGGAACAAGTTCCTCAAGTTTGGCCTCTCTGCCATTAAAGCAACAACTATAGAATGGCATTGAGGGAATGAGAACTTAGAGTGGGTTTTATAGAATGGTAACGAAACTGGAGGTTTGAAGGGAAAATGATGGGTTATGGGAGCTGACCGCATTGTCATTGCCCCGACCGTGTCTCAGTACTGCTGCATTACATGATGCCATGCAGAAAGAAGAAAAAGGTAACAAAGTGTTCAAAGAGATTGGTTAGGAAAGGGGCTGGGGGGTTTCTTAATTCTCAAACAGTTGATGTTCTTCATAAATTACTGTTACATGTTTCCCTCACTCAATTAATTTGATTTTCAACTTTTCTTCTCCCAATTCAATCCCTTGATGTGTGCTCGTATAGTTGTGCAGCACTCACCAATCACCATTATAATTTTTCGCTCTACTCCAAAGACAGCAAAAAAAGAACCCTGTGAATATTTTTGGCCGGTGGGTTCGAATCATTCCATTTCAATCCAATGGAAGAAATCAACGTTTGTTGAATAAAAAAAGACTTCACCCGTCGAAATAAAATAATTTTTAAAAGAAGAATGTTTGTTTGGATCGAAGAACAAGAATATAATAAGAGAATGTTTAAGATGAAAATAACAAAGATAATATATAAAATAAAATAAAATAAACTTTATATCTTTCAATTTTATTTTAATTTTTTTCTCATGATCGCTTGCTCAGGTTATCCAATCATCAACAGAAAGATAGGGTTAAAGTGGGGTTCGAAGGTGGAGTTAGTGATAACGTCCCATGACGCCTGTCGGACTTCTCTTCATCCCAAAAAATTCCCTACCTTTTCGATTTCCATAACGGCTATGCAATCAATATAGCCGTTGTACCTTCCTTTTTATTTAAACCTAGCTGCCTTTTCATTCCTCTGTACAAACCTCAAAAAATCAAAATCATTGTTACTCATTACAAAAGTCAGTTGCGAGGTACAGCAGAAACAAATCAATGGCTAAAGCAGGGGCAGCTCTCTCTCTTTTGCTCCTACTACTTTACCTCAGTTCAGGTATGATGTCTTATCTCATAGGTACTTTAAAGGGCTGATGCTGTAGTCATTGCTTCTCTTTCACTTTTATGCCTACTTCCTTTTTTGAATGCACAATGTGGTGGGATTTCTTGTGTCTTTAGATCTGAGGTGGGTCTATTTCTAATGATTGCAGCAATAAACTGATCAGTTACTTGGCAAATGGCCTGATTCTGGGATTTCTTCTCTGTTCATATTTTTGCAGGGGGGGGTTCGGTCATGGCTAATGAGCAGGTAGTTAGTACTATCAACTTCTTTCTTCACACACAACACAATACAAAGTATCGTATACAACTGCGTTGTCCTTATTCAGAGAAATTCTCATTGGCCACTAATAATATTACAGAAAACTTGGTGTGTGGCCAAGCCATCGTCAGACCAAGCAACTTTACTAGCGAATATCAACTACGCATGCGCTCACGTGGATTGCCAGATTCTACAAAAGGGTTGCCCTTGCTTCTCTCCAGATAGTCTCATAAACCATGCATCCATAGCCATGAATCTGTATTACCAGTGTAAGGGAAGGAACCACTGGAATTGCGATTTCAGGAACTCTGGCCTCATTGTCGTGACTGATCCAAGTAAGAACCACATGAATGATGCAATATGTTAATCTGCTGGCAATAATCATGCCATGCTTACGACAATTTCTCGTGTCAATTTGCAGGTTATAGTAACTGCATCTATGCCTAATCCTTGGTCCAGGAAGTAGCATTTAGCCCATTAGAAGTTACAATAATGATGCCGTTTCTCTTCTTGTTTGAACTTGTAATTCTCATTTGCTGTTACTGGCAATATATGTATTGCTGCAAAGAAGCAACAAGATTAAATCTGATGTACTTTTTTTCCCAATTTTGTCAAGCCTCATTTAGTTGCTAGTCATCTTTAAGAGTGCGCATGAACCTGATAAGGAATCCAAGCTTGAATCACAAGCTCATCAAGGATGTAAATACGTGAGTGAAATGAGAGAAAAAAATTCACAAATTCACAAGTGCTTTACCTGAACATAAACTATGATAGAATAGTGTGAAGGGTGTGGTATACAATTAGCAACTAGTGATGTCTTTGGTTAAGTCTTGTAAATTGGGCTTGCTAAAATTATGTTTTGGTGTTGGGTTAGACTGTAAATGGAATCCATCTAGATCAAAAAAAAATTCAAATTAAACCCTTCTTTTTCATAAATGTTCAGAGACTATCTGGAGAAACAATTTTCTCAAAAAGTGATCAAATTGATAACTTTCTCTCTCTTTATTATTTTCAAGCAACTTTCTTCTTTTCAGACCTCTCTAACTCAGAAGCTGGAACTCTTGAAATTCCAATATTTTCGGATTGCGAAGTCAGATTCATGTTATCACCATGCATTGTGAAAGTGTACCACAGCGAAATTGGCGAACAACTGCAAATTTATGTGGAGTGAATTTTAATTATTCTTATTTTTTCCTGTAGCTATGTCAAAATGAAAATCCGGAACACCCGCCCCTATAACATATCAGCATTCAGCAGCAAGGACGTCCCAGGTAAATTATCACAGGCGCCATCACACTTGATTGAGATGACGGGTTCCAGCTAGAAATCCCAGACTTGCTTCTTAACCATGAAACACTGCAGCAGGAGTGCTTAAGAACCTGATAAAGGAGAGGAAGCATGGCAGCATTTTGAATAAGTAATCATTCATTGCATGAGCGATATTCCGAATAAGAAATTAAAATATGAAGTTGAACACGACTTTAAGATAATGGCCTGCCTCGAACTTGTTCAGCAAATGCAGAAATGTTCAACCATAAAACTGGGCAGTGCATTACTGTAAAGGAGAACTGGAGATGTCCATAAGAACAATTTCATCCTACTCTATAGCAACTATGTTTTGCTTTTTTTTGTCATCATTAACAGTTCTTCCACCTCTAAAATCCTTTCACTTCCAAACTGGCAGCGCCAACTGAAATTAGTTCATAAAGGAATGATGTGCAGTATTGTTGCTTCCCGGACATATAAATAAATTGTCAGTGAACAACATACAGAAGCGACGATCCTTGAAAGAACTAAACACAGATAAGCATGTAAACTCAATACATTAATGCAAAATATTGATTATTTAACAGCAGTAAAACTGAGAAGGCATTTAAAAATATACATGCTTACAAGAACTTTGGCTAATGTTGCTGCGTATTAAGCACCAATTGAGCGTGAATAGAGAAGGAGAAACAAGTTGAAGACCATTCAGAATGCAGTTATTTTACTTGCTATCATTATCAGTATCCTTTCTTCCTTGAATAAGTTCTTAAACTAGAGAGATGAAACCATCACGAGCGTTGAGTAATTGAATCAACACTGAAGCTTGAAGAGTCCCAGCTGACCATCGTGAGAAATTTGAATCCAAAATCATCATTTGATTTCAACACATCAAGTAGGACTCTCCAAACATACATAAACAATCACAACACAGGAAGTGGAGTGTGTGAGGGATTATACCAATTTAACCAATTTACATTACCGCTAAATAATTTGATCAGGTTATTTTAAACGAAATGCACATCTCTCAGAATTATTTTCTTCATTGACAGATATCAGTCCACTACTTTTAAATTTCAAATAGTTCATCACAGAGATGTGCAATGTTCAATCTAGCGTTCAACAATAAATTCTGATGGGCTCGACCCAAGAAAATGAAAGCACGCGTAAGCAACCGTTTGAATCTAGCATTGAAAACATATCTCAACTTTCTGAAATTTTTTTCCTGAATCTTTTTGATACGAGAACATATCCGCTAAACTTTCCTTTAGTCGTAATAGCATAATTCCACAAAGGCATTTCAGAATCTGTAGGCAAACAAAGTCCTCTGTCCCAACCTAAACTTTTCCATTCGACAAACTCATTTAAGAGGACATAATTCAGCAATGAATATCATATAATAGTAAAATACTATACTTTTTTGCCAGCGCTTCTTTTTTACTAACATAAAAAATATTCAAATGATAATAATATAAGCGAGCCTGAATTAACTTGACTAAAAATCTTGAATAAAATTCTTAATTAAAAAATTTTAAAAAAAAACACACAAAATTCTTAACTATCAAAAATTAAAAATTGCATTGACCATGAAACCATAAAAAAAATAAGAATTAAATATGATAAAATAAATAAATATCAAACAATAAAATTAAAAAATAAATAAATCAAATTCAATACAATTAAATAATTAAAAATAGCTTAAGGAAAGAAAAAAAGAAGAAGAAGAAAAA